ATAATTAAAAAAGTAGATCAGAGACATATTTATAGTAATTATGCAGCCAAATTTGCCTGCAAATCTTTACCAATTAAAGGATAAGTATTACCATGCATCCTTCTAATAACAGTATAAAGGTTTTAAAATAGACAAATAGCCTGGTCTGGTTTATCATTTAAATTGGTATTCTTCACTTCTATAAGTTGAAGAATAGAGTTCTGGGGTGTTCCAAGGTCATGTAAGTAAAAACTATTTTTTGCCCAGAAATAGTTTTTTGCTGTTCCATTAGATGTATTTGTAGGATTTTTTAAAATCTTAATTATCAAATTATAGTCTTCTTGTAAAATAATAGCTTTTCTTCATTGCTTAGGATTATGGTTTGATAAAAACTCTAATACCAGTTGATTAAAGGTGATACAAGAAAAAAAGAAAAATCTGTGTCTCTATCCATAATATTTGATATTAAATAATTGATAAAGAAATAAATAGTAAGCTATAAATATTGTTCTATTGAGTAAGATTATTTGATTTATTTGCTTTTTTTTTTTCTTTTAATTTAGCTTATATTATACTTACATTCCTCAGTCCTTTATAGAGGTATATGTTGCTCAATATACACAATGTTGTATGAGAAAAAATTTTTCTGCTTCTGTTATCAGAGAGACCATTATTTTAAAAAAATTCTTACAACGTGTGCAAGTAGATCTTGTTTCATTTGAGAAATATCTGGATAAAAAATACCAGTATATTGTACACCTTCATGATCATTTCACAAGGTTCTCATGGACATGTTCACTATATACTAAAAAGGCAGCAGAAGTTGCTGCATTCCTATTGTCTGTTTTTACTATCTTTGGGCCTCTATACATTTTGCAAAGTAAAGAATTCACTGCTCAAATTATTTATGAACTTCTCAGTTTATAAAAAGAAATCCATATAATAAATGGGCATCCTCACCATCCTCAATCGCAAGGTATGATTGAAAACTCTAACAAGACTTTGAAGAATGTTCTTTCTGCATAGATGGAAGACAATAATCGAAGAGATTGGAGTTTGGCCTTCCAATAGTTACATGTAGGTATATTGATTAATAATTTATAACTTGTTATTGATATTTTATTAATTTTTTT